CCACATAGTGACCTAGATATGTGGGGTCGTGTTAGAACGAGCCATTTTAGGGGGGTGTGGCAGAGTCTTAACTTTGATAAAGAATATCTCTTTGGTTTTGAGACTTTAGTCTTTGCAACTTCAGGGATCTTGTCTATTCACGAACAGCTTGTAACACTCCAAAGAGAAAGGAAAACTTGAAATCGCATCATATGACCCCTTTAAATGCTACAAATGAATTTAGGCATCACAAAATCTTAATATAAAGCATGCATTTTTTTTTGTTTGTAGATTTGCTAAATATTATATATAACAATGTTATTAATTTCTCTTAATTAAAAAAAAATATTGTTTTTAACAGGTGGTTGGCACTGAAATAAAAATTTTAATTATAGCTGATTATAAAATACTACACTAAATAAATAAAAAAGTAAAACACTAAAAACTAAAGCCAGTTATTTTAAATGCTACAAATGAATTCAGGCATCACATCATAATGTGTAGCATTAAAAAAAAGAAGATATATATATATATATATATATTCATTTTGAGATTTGCTAACTATTAAATTTAACAGTTTTATTACAGTTTTTCCTTGTCTTTTTTTAAAAATGTATTGTTTTCATTGAATTGAAAATAAATTATAGCTGATAAAATACTACACTATTTTTGTATAAATTAATTAAACACATGCTACAAATAAATTTAGGCATCACGACATGGATATTTCAAAAACCACATGAATCTGAAAATTGGAAATTCATTTTGAGATTACATTTCAGGACACACACGTATATATATATATATAATAAGAATGAGAAGAATGTGTTGTCTACAAAAATTACTATGGTCATTTACTTTTATGGTGAGATGCCTGCATTGATCTTTGAATCTGTTTGCGCTAAGTTTATGCATCTTGAGTAATAATCAAACTGATATCCCACATAGCAAGTGCAACCAAGAGGCAATGCAAATCAACCCACTCAATGTGGCATATCAAGACACATTACAGTATGTGCATTGAAACCTGAGTGAAGTAAAAGGCTGAATGATTGGAGGGAAGATGATTCCTCCATTACATTGTGTAAAGTGGCTGACAAAATTACTGTAAAGGAACAGTTCACTCACAACTGAATGTTTTCATGTCATCATTTACTCACCCTCATGTGGTTCTGCCATTGTGTTATCTTCCTCCTGTGAAATGCAAAATGAGATGTTTGACAGAATGTCTGAGCTGCTCAATGAAAAGTGGAGGATTTCTGTCAAAACAACAACAACATCATGACAGTGCACTATATTCCAAGTGATGTGTAATAGCTTTGTATACGGATGTAGAACTTTGATTATATGAACTTTGAAAAATTATTAAATGCATTTTAAAAAAGCATCAGTAGGACAACACTAACATTAAGGGAATAGGTCACCCAAAAATGAAAATTGTCTGAATATTACTAACTCTCAGGTCATCCAAGATGAGTTTGTTTCTTCATGGGAACAGATTTGGAGAAATTCAGCATTGCATCGCTTGATCAGCAATGGATCCTCTGCAGTGAATGGGTGCCGTCAGAATGAGAGTCCAAACAGCTGATAAAAACATCACAATAATCCACAAGTAATCCACACCACTCCAGTCCATCAATTAATGTCTTGTGAAGTGAAACGCTGCATGTTTGTAAGAAACAAATCCATCATTAAGACGTTTTAACTTCACTTCTGGCTAAAATATGAGTCTTCTATCCATAATAACGCTTCCACCGGTGAAAAAGTCCATCCCCTGTTGTCCTCTCATATCAAAATCCACACACATATTTGTTTAGAACTGTTTTGAACTGTTTTGATCACTCTTCTGATTCAGACAAGATAACTTTTTCACTGAAGAAAGCAATATTATGAATAGTGGACTTTACATACTCTACATTAGCAACAATCTTGAAGATGGATTTGTTTCTTACAAACATGAAGCTTTTGTCTTCTCCAGATGTTAACTGATGGACTGGAGTGGTGTGAATTACTTGTGGATTATTGTGATGTTTTTATCAGCTGTTTGGACTCTCATTCTGACGGCACCCATTCGCTGCAGAGGATCCACTGCTGAGCAAGTGATGCAACATTTCTCCAAATCTGAAGAAACTAACTAATCTACATCTTGGATGGCTTGAGGCTGAGTACATTTTCAGCAATTTAATATTTTGTGGTGAACCATTCCTTTAATTGTAGATTTTAACATGCAAAACAATATACCATCAGATCACATATGCATACAAATATTTAAAATTCTTCACCACATATATGTGCAGAATTCCTGTGACACATTAAAATTTAGACTGAAGTGACTTTTGGGGCAAACAAGAAACTAATTATGCATAAACTTGCCAGCATCATA